ATATAGTCTTTCCGATATATGTATTCCACTCGCCTCGACTGGATTTTTGCGATTGGAGTAGCATTGATATATATGAACCTGCTTACGTAGTTAAAAACGCAACTGATCTATTCTACTTTACCTCTCTCAATGGCAAGACATTATTCCTTTCTTTTCTGACTGACAGGTTCTCAATTAATATCTAGAACACAATGTTAGTCTTGAAAAACGCTGCTGCTTCGCAGTCCTTATTCAGTGACACCCACATCAATGTGACAGAGGTGTGCTTTTTCCGTAGAATACCGCAAACTGCTGTCGCTCCTTACCGCGAGATGTAGTGGGGCTCGCAACTCTTTCCTGCGACAGTAGGCAAAAAACAGGGCGAAAACCTACGAATAGTGCAAAAATGTGTCATCTAATGGAGTCTGGTGGGTATCGCAAGGTAATATTGTGCTTGCAACACCTGCCGAACACTCTACTTCAAATCGGTGTCGTTAACCTCAGAAAGCACGAAATATTTGATATATACCGTTAGGCATGTACCATAACGAAATCAAGAGCTCTATAGCTCTATATATTTAATATTTTTCTAGGTCTTCTACATGTACTACTCTTCTTCCTATTATTTTTATTATTAATCGCATATCGTATTAGTTATTCTTCAATTTTCGTGTTATTTTGAAACACAAACAGGTTTCAAGGATGTTCAATCACCAGAGTTAATTTACTATTTGCGTAGGAGTTATTACCGAACTGTTTTCGGGCAGACGTAGTGGATTTTTCGTTTTTACAAAAGTTTGATGTGAAAATAATTTAAACTAGAGTTTATTGATTCTTTTAATGTATTTACAATAAATTTGATTCATACTACGAAGAGTTCTCAGCGATTCAGCGATAATATCCACCGTGCTGAATATGGAAGACTTCGTAGGAGACTTTATTTGATAGAAAAATAGCCAGTTTTTTAATATCAGCATCAAAACGGAAACAACAGTCTTCGTCTTTCATTGGAGACGATTGGGACATCTGACGATTTCGTGCAAAAAGCGACCATTAATTTTATCGAAATGCCGAAAATCTGATTTTTATGTCATATTTCTGCTATGAGCGTGTAGAAATCAGTGATTAAAGAGTTACTGCTACTTACAGCAAAAATATATTTTTATGATAAGCAAGTGTTGAACCGATTTTAGTAACCACTCTTTTGGAGTTCCCAGTTAATAATTTCGAGCGACCATCGTAACATAAGTGCTATAATGTCGAGCAAAGGCACAGAGATTCTGAAAAAGACTGATAATAATTTCTGCAAGCACGCCTAATGAAGTAGCGTATTAATATAGTTTGGAAAGTACTTTTATGTATGTCGCCACCTACCCTCACACGCATACATGCCTCCTTGACTAACAATTAAGGATTATTTGTATTGTATTGGACGGTGGTGGTTATTGCTAATAAAAAAAAAGGGATTAAAGTGAAGCGAAAGAAGCAAGCACGCAGGAAATAAGGAAAGAAGGTCAGGAATGGGCGCGAATTTGGATAAATCATTGGCAAGCTTCAATAGGATTCTGCCTCTTCGTCGGCGCCGATTCGTTGCCTCACGCTAACTGCGAATAGTAAAAAAAAATAAGAAAGAACGCAACGTGACAGAAGCACCTACATTTTTTTGACGTTCGTCTTCTCGTTGTTTTCTCATCGTCTGTAGCCCACTCGTCTGAGTGAACTAATGCAACCAACGGTTAGACACCGGCATCGCATTGATACCTGTCGGTTATCTGCTTTGCTGAGTGCTCTGCGTTTTCCTGGCTACTTGTGATGGCCTAAAGCACAGCAAAATGTTGCGACATTCCCATCTCTTTTCCTCCCATACGCTTTCCTGTCGGCTTTGTGCTGCTTGTATCATCACTATCTTTCGCTTTCCGTGTCCTTCCGGCTGCTCCCTTTATCCTTCGCAAGAAACAAAATAGATCCTCCAAAGGGAGTGTTACCCGACAGCGGCTCGCTTGCTTGCTGGCAAGTTACTGGTACTAGTAGGCTGATCCACCTAGGGAAAGCGAGAAACGAGGTAATACGCAGCCCGAGAGTTCATCTTTGCCGGAAATGGGGGTATTAAGTGAAAGTCAACAAGAGGGACGCGGAAAGAGCAACAGAAAGACGCAAAATAACATAAGCGCTCTACTTTACTTCGCCCGTATATGTTGAACGCGCTTGTAAGTTGCAATCTGTACACATAAAAGTGCTTCTTGTCCAACTCACCGGGGAGGCATTTAGAGACCAAGCGAGTTCCTTCAACTCCATCCCTTTCCCCTTCCTATTTCTACATGTTGTAGATCTTTTTGAAAAATCTCTCGAATTTGATGTCGGTTCTTGTCTGTGCAAATCGTTCGGCGCCAGATTTTTAAAAGGGCACCGGTCTGTCTATGCTTGGTCAAGCACAAGAATACTTTCGTAATGGGCGTAGCATTAGGAAGGCGAAGCGCCAAAGGGCACGGAACATCCCAGAAGCGCTGGATCGCTGTCAATGTTTATGTACTACAATTGAAGCTATATAACAGAAAAAAAAGATTCTTTAGAATGTTTTACCAAGCTGTCTATTGAGTGACACCTGGCTGCCCGTCAACTGTAGGCAACGTCAAAAAGACGCACGCTCTGACCTTTGGTACAGTTGAGATAGACACTGTATCAATCGAATGGTCAAGTAGCAAGCTAGTCCTCTTTAACGCCGAGTACTACAGCGTTTAACTAGATTTGATTGAAGAAATTGATTTGATTAACTTTCTTCTTCAAAAAAAGTTGCATCTATTTCTGCTTTTCCATAGCAGTTAACAGTGTATCGCAGTTAACTGTAGCCTTGTTCGACTCTAATACATACTGAGTCAATCTGAGTGTCTGGAACGGCAATGGTACATTTTCCTAGGTCACATAGAGCATTTGAAATACATATGAAGAACAACGTAAGTTTTACATCAAACGATTCAGTTGGCCCTAGCAAATCAAAAGGTCTTTTGTGACTAGAAAATCCAAACAGTCTTTATTTCCCCTTGGCCAGGAAGTAAATGAGTTTCTCTGAGGTATGGGAAACAGAAAAGGTAAAAGTAGATTTATAATGTTGAAAGAAATAGATCAACAATTTGTCGGGTGGCATAGATGTTGCACTGATTACTCGTACAGCCCAATTTTACGTATTTGTCTAGACTACCCAGTCGCACTCCAAATAATAACAGATTCGACAGAGAACTATACGGCAAGCACAAATGGTTATATATATGCCACAGTGAGACGATCGCAATCAATTACAATGACCAGACACTGAAATGAGCCGGCACATATACGGTATTATTTGTGTATCAAAATGTTATCATCTACTTACATTTCAGTTTTGGGATTGGCTTTAGTGATCACACATTAAAGCATTTCCTACCAATATTTGTGCGTGGAAAACAGAATAAAACATATGAGAACGAGAAGCACTATTGCAAAGAATTAGCAAATCATGTTATTCATAAAAAAGTAAAAGACATTATAATCTTCTTTGCTGGCACCTAAGTAACTGTTAGTTAACCTATGTGAAATCTCAGAAACGTTTTCAACTTTGTGTGTATTACTACTATACTAAACTATAAGTTCTCTTGACAACTGATTTGAATTTGAAAAGAAGATAATGTATACCTGCTGTAAGTGGATGCTTTCACTAACGCTAAGTGAAACCGGTGCATTTTCGAATAGCTATAGAAAAATTAATTCTATTAGTTTTCATACTCATTACCATTAGCTATTGGGGCCGAAATAAGCAGAAGGTGTCATTCGTTGTTGTAGTCAAATATTTTGCAAAAAAAAAGTAGTTTTTTCTTATATTAAAGAGCGTTCTTTTATATTTAAATTTTCTAATAAATAGTCTGTAAAGGTCAAAATAAACGACCTAGTATTGGTTTAGCCTTCACAAAGACGAAATTGTAAACGTCATTTTTGTCATTATCGAGGACATCTTCTTTGGTAGCGCAGTTTTAAGCGCAGAGCTATAAGCTCTTAAATTCTTTGTCAATTGACAACTGACTTCGCAGTACCAATAGTGTTATTTTGATGCTTTTGATTGTATTAATGGCACTTGGTCTCTCTTTTTCATCATCTTTCTACCGCCTAGCCTACTATTTCTCCGTAAGCTCGTGAGGAAGTCACTAGTGGATCACTTATATTCTTTACTTGTCATGCAGTAAACTTCTTAGCAAACAACGGTCAAGTGCGCATAACATTCACACTAATTAGTCTAAAATGTAGCACAATCTAGAGGATACAAACAAATCTTGCGTTGAGTTCGCCCCGTTCTCACATTACGGAATAAACTCAGCCTTGCACTGAGAGGAACTGAGTGAGATATTGATTAGCCTTAAAGCCTAAAAAGTTCGGAACATAGTTTTATTAGCTTTGTTTTGTGATAAAAAGTCACAATCAATATAGACATGTTAGATGTAAATCTTGTTAGTCTGCAGCAGAATTATCAAATCCAGTGGAAGAGGCCCCGTTCATCTAAATTCCCATCTAATGATAGTAAAAACTTACAAGCCAGGATACATTATTAGATATAAAGGCGCAACAAGCTCGGTTTTTTTGTAACTAAGCGGGTAAAACCGAAAGGAGTGGTGAGGGTTTAGAAGCAGCAAACAAAAATCGCGACCATAGAATTGAGAAGTCGGCGCCTTTCCGGCATCTGTGTGTCGGAGACGATTTGATATTGAAAAACTCAAACATGTAAGGTGATTGGATAGCGGCTGGATGGTATAATAGAAGTGCCTTCATATTCATACTGGGTCCTGTTTCTTCAGGGTCGTCATAGAGAACAGTTGCTTTCGTCCTGTTCAATGGGAAAAACCAGCCACCGTCACGATGGAAACGTAAGGATGAGATCGTTACTATGTACATGGCTCCGCACTTTAACAAATGCTTTGGCAAAAAAATGTACATACATGCCCTTATATACAGGCACGAGTGTGTAACACAGAGAGGGCCGGCCGACATGTCTCCCGCCTGGACGACTTTCTCATTTGATGCTTATGTTGGCATTGGCTGCGCGCGTTGTTGTTATTATTGTGCACATTATCATTATCAGAAAAAAGATAGCAGTATCTCAAAAAATCCACCTGCTCGTTCTTTCGCTTGGCCCCTCTCGTGTTTCTCTGGTCGAGCTAAGCAAAATCTGCAAAATGTACCTCTCTTTCTAAAAGGCAAGGTCGCTCATGCGTACCGTCGCCGATTTTTCTTCTGTCTTCATATACCCAGTCACATATACTCCGGTATTCCAAAAAGATATTATTCTCCGTCTCTTCTTTCCTACGCCGCTTTTTGGTGTATATGGAAGTGTTATGTGAGCGTGTGCGTTCTTTGCAGTCCTTCCGATATCGACAACTAAATCTAGAATGCCATATTCGTTTTCTCGCCTTAGTCAATGGCACATGTTTACGCATCTGTACTTTGCCTCCCTGTATCTCTGTACTTTTTTGTGTTCTGCGCGTCGCGCCTCGTCTCGCTTCTCTGAAATTCTCTGATCACTTGTAGCTGTTGTATCTTGCTTTCGCTGAATACAACAGAAACGCAAGATGCATGATTTGCAAAAGAGTCAAAATGCCTTTGCGCCTCTGAGTATATGAAGAGTTTGAAGGTTAGTAAGAGAAGTCACATGTGTATATGCTTTGGTACTTTGCCGTGGATATGCAACATGACTATATTCAAGCGAATGACAAACCGAGAATGTACCTTAACACCTGAAGGTACCTAATCATTGTTTCTATTCTTATTACATGTGACGTTTATACAACCAACATCAATCCAATAACGGTACGTTTTCACATCTGATTACGACAAGCTTTAAACTTTAAAGTTAAGATTATAAAAGAAAAACCTACTACTATATTTATTTACTGATTATATATAAAATTTAATATAGTGGCATCAACTGCTATTTTCTTCACCATGGAATATAAAAGTGTGTACAGGTTGCCTCAAAAAATAATTTTTTTTGCGATAACTGAGGTTGTAGTAAAGCAGTATCAAAAGCTAGTTTTGTATACGTCGCGGGTTAAAATCTGGAATTTGTGCAAAAAATGTTTACGGAGATCTTTCTCAAAAAAAGAGAAATCTCAACAGTAAAGAGTTCGTCTGCGAGTCACAGATCTGCTGATGTATGGTACTTTTCAAGTGGGCAAACGTTTAACTTGAAGCTTACTAAAAGTGTAGGCGCGAATAAAACAAAAGACAAGCTTTGTGTATGGAAAGCATAAAAGTGACTGGTTCAGATTATCGGGGTCGTAATGGGCCATCCCGCCGCTATTACCTGGGTAATCGCGAACTTCAAATTTTTCGCGCGTAACCCGTATTGGCTTTCTATTACTTGAACGCGCAAAATTCGAAAGCTTATTTTATTTATAAAAAAATATAATGGTTCGACGTCCAAAATTTGGAGTTTATTGGTGTCCAAGCAACGGCGGTGATATGGCTCTTACTACTGAAACCGCAGCGGGCTCTGTCTGCACGAAACAGAATGGCAGGTTTAGCCGTGAACGACTAGCTTCGAGAAGAAAGCCTGAAGCTCTTGTTCTCGAAGCTACTCAGAGAAGAGGCCAGAAATGTGGCTTACGGGACTCAAACGAGCGAAATATCATACCCAGCACTGACCTAACCGGTAAAGGTTTTCGGGCCAAGGGAACGCCTGTGCTACATTACGCTGTTGAGAGCATGGGGGCACCAGGGTAACTGGAAGACAGTACGCATCCATGAGGGTTAGAAATCGGCTAAGAGGTGTGGCCGAAAAGACGCTATACAGTTAAGACTTTAAGAGATTAAACAGTTAAGACTAGAAGAGCGTGGCGTCGAGACAGAAACGAGAATGCTGTGTGGTGTTTACTACATAGATGTTGTCATCACGGGGAAGATTTTAGCGATAAGCAATGGCAACTATCAAAGTGGCTATTTATTACTGTGACTGAATTTTTCGTGATTTAAAATGTATCTTGTGGACGAATTCGTATAATATTTATAACAGCGGAGAGGATTGCATTTTGTCGGTGACCGACAGTGCAAATGCGGTATCTGTTGTTTTGTTCTAGCTTTCTTCAAAAGCCAAATATAACAAGCTCCTGCAACGAGGACTTGACTCTTAAATAGGAACTATTATAATTATAATCTCATATTAATAGCCGTGAATCAGGAAGCTGTCTGTTCACTCGAATTTGCATTTAGCAGTTGGAAAGTTATCAAATGATGGCCCAGTAAAGCAGCTTTACCTGTTTTCATAAACCACCTGTAACTAGATATTAAGTTTTAAAAAAGTTATATTGAGAACGACTCCATGACAACCCAAAAGAGATTATTGCAGAATATATGATAAAGATTCTCGCACCCAGTAGAATCAATGGTTTTTGAACTTAGACAGGTGGCGGTGATGACAAAAAGCTAAATATCTGTTTGTCGTAACCATTTGCATTTAAATCAGTAAAAAAAAACAAAAAGAATGGATACGGCAGTTCTGCGAATAACCTTTGTCTGATTTTGAATCCATACAAAAATCTGAACTACTTAAAAGCCCTAGCCGTTTTAGCGTGAGCATATAATCAGCTGAACTTTTTTTACAGCACATCATCTGCAAAACTGTGACTTAGGCTGGAACTACTATCAAGGAACGACAGGTTAACCGTTACAATAACAATTATAAGTTGGCGGAACTATGATTTTTAGATGGTGTGTGTCTGGCGTAATTCAGGCTGGCCATTTCAACGGCGGTAGGGAGAGTTTAGAAGAATCTCCTATTAAATTATATTCTGCGTCAAAGCTGCGTTTTGTCAGACGTAATCGAAATAGACAAAAATTTCGCCTAAGAGCTACAGCGGAATCAAAAGTACTTGAAAATAAGTCTAACTACCCTTGTCCAAAAGCAAAAAGATTCTCAATGATTATTTTTTGTTTAAACAGCAATAGCTACCTCTCCTTTTTTACAACAAAACTGCCAGTGAAACAACGTCTGCTCTGTGTACTTTAAATCTATGGCACAAGCCGTTATTCTCATAACATAATTATATTGAAGCGGTTATCGAGACGCATTCAGTTTCAGGAGGTACACTATATGCGGATATATCGGCCTTCGTTGTGCCTCTGTCAAATTACTTATCAAATCATCCATTACTGTTCCTACATAAATACAGGTCTTTGTTAGTAAAGGTTATTTTTTTTTATCGATTTATTGTGTAGGCAATGGAGCAAAAAGTTCCATGACGAAATCTGCCAGTATGCTCAGGACACAACTCCTTTCGACGAATGTATAATAAAATATGATGGTAACTCACCAGCGCATTAATATTTGATACAAAAAAGGTGTTGAGTCAGGCCAGAGTAAAACTAAAACAGAATTACGAATGCTTGCATTGTCTTTTGTCTCTTCAAGAGAATCTCATCGTTGTTGTATTAGATTACTTATCAGATTATACTGCTGCTAGTACGTATTTCATAATGGTATGATTCGTAGTGACTGCTATTGTTTCCATTACATCGGCTGCATATACTACAACGTAAATAGATGTAATAGAGTAGAACCGCGTTTAGCATCATGGACCAATGAATATCGTAGATTGTCCTATCGGGTATCTTCGTTTTTTTTAGAACCAGTTGCCTGCCTTCTACATGCATACTGTATTAATGTTTCCATACAACCTAAGAGTGGCGGTTCTATGTTCGATCGTGCTTTAAACGGAAACTTCATCTATGATGAGTCATTTTCATAATAAATGGATGGAGAGGCTAGTATTGGGGCTCGTTAACCACTATACCATATTGGCGCAGGTTGTTGAAACGTTAACAAGGCATTCGCAGATCTCATCTGCCCCGAAACTCCGTATGTCCGATATTACCGGATCACGGCACAGCGACGATGCATAAAGTAAAAAAAAAACAGGCATGTCCGCTCTCTATGTATCTCTGTAAGTACAATTGAATGTATTGTACGGATCTCACCCTGCCCCCACATAATTGAGAAGGACGATGGGATTTAGAACTCGGTTCAGCTGGATTCGCCTTTGTGACTCCTTACTGACTCAATGGATTTATTGTGGCCTTAAGTTTTGATCCAGTTTAGTTCGTTTTTTTTTCTAATATCATTACGAAACTCAGAACATGCATTCTGCGATATAATACCTTTTGAAACACTTACTAATAGTAGTCGAGTTCGGTATGCGGATGACACATCGTAACATCAAGGGATGTTTAACGACTCAGACATTAATGATACCGTCAACATGCATGAATTATATATTTCTTCTAGTGAAATCCTGAACTTGGTCTCCAGAACTGCTTGCATTATACCTGTTATTTGTGCCTACAAACATCCATCCATCGCTATAGATCCCATAAAAAGCATGTCTGCTGGAATGACCTATCTCACGGGCCAAGTCATTATAATTATAGCATAGCGTCGTAACTCAACATTTTGGATGTACCCGAATATTGTTTTCCGATAGATGTAGTGGAAATCGTCCATGCTGAAGCACTAATCTGGAGCAATACTCAATCAAACTAGAAACTTTAGGGTGCGTCCACGGGAAGGCAAACATTCTTTGTTCTAATGGAGCAGCACTAGTTGTAGGAGTTGTGCTATCGACGACAGAAAGCAAATATTGGTGTAATGACTCGATAGATCATTTTCATGAATACAGTACCGTCAATGTGGGTATGGCAGAAATAAAGGGCTATGATCGTCAGTACTTACGTTTTGGTTAGAGAACGCATAGTATTTCATTCCCCTGGCAGGTTACATAAAACGGAAGTAAGGACGAATGGTTAAGAGTTATCTAGGGTGCTTTAAGGCACACCGGGCCGTACTAGGCTATGGCAGGTCGAGGAAGCAGTGACCGTCGAACAAAATCGGCGCACAGCCGGCGCGCTGCTGCAAACGCGACGAAAAGCTGCTGGTAGCAAAGGAGAAAGAAAACGATAAGGAGAAAAGAGAGTCTTGGCCAGCTAACTCGTCAGCGACCTGTATACCTGATTTGTCTGTCAGAATGGCCACCAGCGGAACGATAACCATTGAAAAGCTCCTTCTTACGATAGAGTTGCTTCTCTTCGTGCTTATCCTACCTTTCGCTCGCACACACCTTCTCCCTCATCTTTTTCTCTGTTCGGTCGCCTGGACCCAGGCTATGGCACCAATCCCACCTACCATGGTTATGCATATCTTCCACTGGCAACAGCAGCATACCACCATAACCTTCCCCGCTTCACGGCATTCTTCGTCAATCCCTAAAGTGTGCGCTCCGTGTCCGTCCTATAAACTTACGCATTTTAGACCTCTTCCAAGTATACGATTGGCAGTTCATCGTGGTGATCAGCAGTGAGCAGACCATGGTCCATTTCCGTTGATCCCTTCGGTCTTTGGGGCTCGGTTGAGCAGTGACTCGAACGAGCAGAGGGCCTAGTTTATCGTACTGCGATGAATTTTCATCTGGATATCATTTACAGAACAGCCCCCAATGGCTTCCTGTCTTGCTTGAAGTCATCTACTGTTTGTCGTTCCACAACGGTTGCTAACTTTGTTTCACATGGGTTCGTTTGGTACACGCGGTATTTTCTGAAGCATAAATTTACAAATTTGTCCGTCTCGACACCGAAGAGCCTACTAAGTGCTTTCAATGTATTTCGTTCACCATAAGTTATTTCTATATATATTGTAGTAAAAAGTATCGTTGTAGCCTTATGTAGTCGTATTATGGCTCCACTAGATACAGCAAAAAAGCTCCCTGAAGTCACAAAATGTTCGTTTTTATTAGACACACGGAAGTATTAAGGTGTGCGTCGGATCGATCAGCTTGAACGATGGAGGCGATGCCCTTGCAGAATACTGGAGAGGTCATAAAAATCAGATGGGGAGAAAAACTTTCGTCTTTTCTAATTAGCAGGGAAACTGATTTTTCGGGTGGCTCAACGGGATCTGCACACTACTGCACTTTAGTATCTTATCGGTGTGAAAAAGCTGATAGTTGAGTTTACGGTGTTACTAGGCTCTTTTTAAGTAGGTTTTTCCTTAGCTATAAAATACAAACCTGTATATGAAAGTTATAATATTCACTATAATCTGAGCACTTAAGGAGCTATATATTTTGATCAGTTCTAAAGATATGCAATATAAGTAAGATAAAAGATAAAAGTTTAGGTTTTCATTTTTGTTTGTCGGCCAATAAACTAAACGGTCTTGAGTATCGACTACTGCCCCATTTTCAATCTTCACTGCATTTATCTGGCCTACTTTTTCATGAACTAGCGGGTGCTGTAGTCATACAAAACAACAAAGGTTACTCAAATCCTTCTATATCTTAATCATAAAAGCCCTTGAACTGTTCATCTCCACATGATCTTCGTTTATAACTATTAATCTTAAAAAAATTGTCTCTGGTAAATGTTAACTGATACTTTCGTAGAATCAAATTTGGTATGTCATTTCGCATTGAACGCTGTGTGTGACTGAAATATATGCACGTACTGCACCTAAATTTGCAAGGTAACATAAAATAACAGCGAGCGCTTGTTCCTGCATTTTATGATAGGCAATTTATTTTCACCGCTTTGAAATCCTAGGCTAATTTCCGACTGTTACTTAATGTTTTCCTTAAAAAAATTAAGCTTTTATTTTCAGCTGAATTACCTTGTTTATATCGTGAATGTCATTCGTCAGTTTTTTTTACATATATATATATATATACTCACTTTTCGTAATATACTTTAAACTTTTTCCCACCAAAAACATTGAGCATTACGGAAGATAGCAACTGAAACCTTTTAACCCTTACAGTAATAAATATATTAAATATACACAAGCGCTTATATTAGTAGTTTGTCCAAGCAGGATTACTGTTTCAAGGAAGCTTCCGCGCATTATCATTTGGAACGAACACTGTCCGTTATAAATACAGGTAATTAGTGCTATATATGAAAGCAGAGACGTATATATACATGTGTGTGTGTGTATGTACACTCTGTATATGTAAAATATATATATATAGGGTATTTCGAAATCCGAGTTTCATTCTTTAGGGTTCGACAGTTTTGCAAAGGGAGTCAATTGTACCATGCGATACCAAAACATTTTCATGGCGAAATGTTGATACTTTTTATGCACAACTAAAGCAAGGTTATGGATATGACATGAAAAAGACGTAATTGTTTGAAAATCATTACCTGTATTGCGAAAGTAAAAATAGAATAAATTCGAGGACTGTTTGCCGATATCAAGCAAGATCTTGAACTAACAAGATTCAACTATAACATGTGCCCAATACTATCGGGTATTCGTGTTTGAAAATATAAGTCCTTTCGGAGCTTCTTTTGCGACCTGATCCAGAACATATCGGTTCAACTACAAGTTCCACTAACTTAACAGATCAACTGCTGCTTTCTCGAAATCTAACTAGCGATATTCTCTTTGTTTGAAGTAGTTTTTACCTGTTGCAAATGATCACTATCATCAAGTACGGTATCGTCAACCGTTGTTAGTTGAATCGCTAGATAGTCTACCTGGAGGACAACTAGTTTTACAGATAGTTCTGAAAAGATATTGATTATCTTGAACAACTGTCACGATACATAACAATTCTACGTAACCTGAACTTGTTTCAGTATTTTGTTGGCCCAGCCGTTGTTTATATGATACCAGCTGTAACCTTAAGTAGATACGCCTATAGCTGAAAATTTTACGTTAAAGATGAAGAAAACGTAGTCAATTAAGAATTTGTAGTAAATCCAATAGTGTAAATTAAAAATGTAGAACTACTATTTATCTTTAATCAGCTGGCTCGAAATGGGTATGCAATATGTATTATATTATATATATATATATATATATATATATATATATATATATATATATAAAGTATGCATACCTTTGGCTTCACAATCAAGGCAGAGATCCTGACTCGATCACTTTAATGATACCTTAAATGATATCTATGTCATGATGGCTTTACTACAGGAGAAACATGACTACGAAATTAACCTGACAACCGCTATGTTGGACCGGTTACGAATAGTACATTGTTAGCTGTGATAGGTCATATGTTAGTACACACATAAAAAAAAAAGTATAAGAGGTTCAATTTTTCAATGCCAATATTTTGTAACATTCTTATCAACCTTTATTATCCATAACTAATTACGTGGTATCGGTTATCGTCATTCACTTCACAGCCTCATCGTTAGATCAAGCACAGCCGATGGTGGAACCCGATCGCACGATGCATCGCACACCTATTCCTAGAGCCTGGTTACTGTCAACTAGTACAGTTAAAGGCCGGACTGTTTCTCAATATATTTTCATGAGTATACTGGTTAGGCTTCTGTTTAAAAAACTATTTAGAGCATTAGGATGCAGAGACGTTTCTGACTCATATACC